ATAGAGAATAGTAAAAAAAAAAAACTCTTCTACTTTCCCTGTTAAAAATAAACACCTTCAGTTGTATTACTGATAAATTAGTAGAAAAATTTCTTAGAATCCAAATTAAGCCAACGTTTAAAATCCTCTTTCTGATCATTGTATTTCACTACTCTCATATACTGTGTGATCCCTTTATCTAATTGCATTTTCCTAGGTCATAAGAGGACCTAAAACAAATAGTATAGAATCTAGATTCAGGACTACATGGCATCTGGTATGTCCTTTGTCCACAAACAGGAAACAATGTGTGTTCTCATTACAACACTGGATGGTCTTCTGACATGCACTGGGTTCTTCCAGACAGGAATAAAACTAATGCCATCAGATAAAAGCAAGCCATAGCCTCTCAACTACTTAACTAGAGAAGCAAGTCAGGAAGCATTTAATTTCACTGGCAAGCTGGAATCTTCTAGAGAGGAATAATCTTAACATACAGAGTCTGCTGTCATTTTCTATTTCTACTAAAAATTTAAATATATCTAACCTTCAAGTGTATTGACTCTCTGGGGTATTGTTTATATGTTTGTCTGATAAACTATGAAAACTGCTCATTTCACCTATGCAAAGAGATTTGCCAAATTTTCTGTAATACCAACACCTAATGTTGGAACTAGTACATGATAAATATACGTAAGGATTTTGTTTGTTTGATTTGTTCTGGTTATTTTCAAATTCAAATGTGACCTCCTTTGGGTGAGGGGTACCTCCATATGAACTGGTATACTCCATGACTCCACTCTTATATGTTAATTCTTCTTTCTTTCTTTCTTTCTTTCTTTCTTTCTTTCTCTCTCTCTCTCTCTCTCTCTCTCTCTCTCTCTCTCTCTCTCTCTCTCTTTCTCTCTTTCTTTCTTTTTTTATTTGTGGGACCCTCGCCAGCAGCAGGGGAACAAACCGGCGCTGCAGAGGCTGCGGCAGCCTCGCAGCCCAGTGCTCAACCGCTGCGCCACCAGGGGAGGCCCAACTCCACTCTTATATGGTCTCTTTCCACAACATCAATTCCTCTGTTATAAAATAATTTTCAAAATGCACAAATTTGTGCTCATTTCCCAGGTATTAAAGAATGCTTTCTTTTGGGTCTCCCCAGTGGCGCAATGAGTTGAGCGCAGTACTGTGAAGCTGTCCGCAGCTTCTGAGCGCTGGCTCTATTCCCGGCCAGCCAGAGAGATACCCGCTTGGCACGGCAGACCTCTCCTGTCTCACCCGCTGCTCCCCTCAGCAGTGTATTTCTGTCGTCTGCCTGTTTTGTTCCCCACTCTGTCTCTGGTGAATCCTCTCACTCTCCCGCGCATCTGGCTTGTATCCCAGCTCTTGTATAAATAAATAAATCTTAAAAAAAAGGATGCTTTCTTTTGGCTTAAACCCATCTCTCTCTCTCTCTCTCTCTCTCTCTCTCTCTCTCTCTCTCTCTCTCTCTCTCTCTCTCTCTCTCTTTCTCTCTCTCTCTCTCTGTAGGTGTCATTGGTTTACAACATTGTTTATATTTTAGAATTACAGGATCTCCCCATCGAGTGTTATTACCACACTGCACTGCCACCAAAACACCCAGTCCACTGAAGTCTATTTTGCCGTCTCCCCTGTTATGCTCCTTCCCCTCCCTCTTCATGTCCTCTGATATCCTCAGTTATTTAGTCATTTTTCAAGGGTCAGTTTTAAGTTTAGCTTTACCTGACCCTCTTTGGCTTCTATATATTCCACATATAAGTGACACCATCTGGTGTTTGTCTTTCTCTCCCTGACTTATTTCACTTAGCATAATCCTCTCCATCCATGTTGCCATAAATTGCAAGAGACCCAGACCTATGATTCCGCTCTCTTTCAATGACAGTTTTCTTTTACAAGTTACACAATAAGGTTTCTCCACTTTGTCACTTCTCATCAACTCCTCAAACCAATCAAATTTGGTTTCCATACCCAACACTAATGCCAAAACTTCTACTGTCATTGCCACTAGCGATCTCTAAGTTTCCATAGCCAAGGTCACCTTTCTTTCTTTGTCTTAATTATCTTCTCAACAGTGTTACCAATAGTAAAGCTTAAAATTCAGTCCCTTCTCAAATTATTCTCTCCTCTAGACTTTTTTTTTTTTTTTTTTTTTTTGTGAGGCCCTCGCTGGTGGCTGGGGATCGAACTGGCGCTGCCTCGCAACCCAGCGTTCAACCGTTGTGCCACCAGGGGAGGCCCCCTCTCTAGACTTTTTGAGATCACATTGCACATCAAATCTATGTCTCTATATGACCTCTCTTCAAAAGCTTCAACTTCATCACAAATCTCTCCCTTGCAATATTTCCCAGAAAATGTCAAGTTCTTTTCCACTTTCAGGTCCTTTCTCCCACTAATCACCATCCCTGAGGACTTCCTATTGTCATTTTTCACCCGGATGATCCTTTAACATTATTTATGTATCAGAAAATTCAGAATTTTCTCCTTTAGGAAGAACTATCCAATAACCATGGCTTTATCTATTAATATGTCTTGTGTATTTTTCTTTATAAGACCACATTTTATAGAGTCACAGCTATTTTTTCTCAAATCTACATGCATATATGCATATTACACACATCTATTCTGCATAATAGAATACATTCAGAAAGACGTCTTAGCTATATCATGTGATTCCAGAAGTGAATAATTTTACAAATTTCCACTGTCCAACCACCCCTTCAATTTTTGACCATCATAGCTACACAGTAAGGAGGAAAACAATCTGGTAAGAGTCAGAGTTGACCTCCTAGCACATCTCCATCGTCACTTCAGACTTATTTCTAAATTTCCTCACCCCATGAATGGGTCCAGTCTGATCTTAATGTTCCTGAAGACAGAACTCTTAGCTCTTGCTTGTTAGCTGGTTTGGAAATTCTAAACTCCAGCTGGGTGTTTTTATCACTTTCCTCTTTACTATGCTAGCCATGTTAAATGTTCCTTTGTTTAGTTTATTCTTATTACATATTCTTATTACAATATGTATGATATTAACTATCTCCTCACCCATGTAAGTTTTTAACATGTCAGATATATTGTCTTCCTTTTCCTAAGTTTTTGTTGAAATTTATTTGCTAATACTAGATTGTTACTGAAAAGTTCTATTTAACTCCTCAAGCAGTCAAAAAATTAGTTTATCTTTCAACTCTTCAGTATGAATTCCCCATACCCATTGGAGTCCCACCAAAATTAAATTGGGGACCATCCTCTTACTTATTAATCCATTTCTTCCCATGCAACCCAGCACTATTGGTTTTTCCAATACTGCTACAATTCTACCCACCTGCTAACCTGTGTCCAGTTTATTTTTGCTAGCAACTATACCTGCCTTACCCTTCTGACATTTTAAGTTTTTTTTAACCCTAATTTGATCACTTTCATGAATATATAAATCAAATCATGTGTTGAATTGAATAGGCCATCCTCAAACACAGCTTACTATCCCTGAGAGAAACGGTTTTAAACTTGCATATCTCAAATATACTGGTTTCACCAATCACTTTTTCTCTTTCTATCCAACCTTAAAATTGTAACACACACATGTGTCAATAGACAGATGACAGATAGATATTAGCGAATACCAACACCTCCTTCATCCCTACCTTTATAAATGGATTCAATCTCCAGATTCAATACATACATTTCATTGAGTAGAAATAAAAGTGCCCAGTTCTTGTAGGCATAAATAAATAAATCTTAAAAAAAAAAAGTGACCAGGGCCTCCCCCGGTGGTGCAGCGGTTGAGTGCTGGGCTGCAAAGCTGCCCGCAGCCCCTGCAGTGCCAGTTCAATCCCCGGCCACCAGGCGAGGGTCCCACATGGCGTGCAGACCTCTCCTGCCACGCCCTCTGCTCCCCTCAGCAGTGTACTTCATCAGTCTACCTGTTCTGTTCCCTGCTCTGGCTCTGGTGAATTCTCTCACCCTCCCGCACTTCTGACTGTACTCAGTGCTTGTATAAATAAATAAATAAATCTTTAAAAAAAAGTGACCAAAATGACCAGTAAGTTCAGACCTAATATTTTTTGTTCAAAGTTCTACCCTCAATCCTCAAGTTGCACACCATCATTCAGATTTTCTGCATGGTTTTTCCAGCCAGTTCCAATGCTTGTGCTACCTGCTGCCTGATGGAACTAAACCCACTAATCCAAGATGACATGTAGTGAGCACAGCTCCCACTGTGGCCACAGCCATCACCCCTGTCCCATTATTTCACTCTCTAAAAGTGTCACCCAAAAAAATCTTGTTCAATTGTAACCTTAAAATGCAAAATCAATACTCTTCGAAATGATTGTAGTGCTTCATTTGAAAGCTTCTAAAGATTAAGCAGGGCCTGGTGGCACAAGGGGTTAAGATGCAACCTATGATGGTATCCACAGCCACTGCAGCATGGGTTTGATCCCTGGCCAGGGAGCTACCCACAGGGTGCAGCAAACCTCTCCTGACTTGCCCGCTGCTCCCCTCAGCAGTGTATTTCAGTCAATCCGCCTGTTTTGTTCTCCACTCTGTCTCTAGTGAATCCTCTCACCACCACCCCCCCACACCTCTGGCTTGTACCCCAGTTCTTGTATGCATAAATAGGTAAATCTTTTAAAAACAAAACAAAAAATTTTTAAAAATTAAGCAAATATTTAGTACAGAAATGAAAGGAAACATATTATCCCTGGTCAGATATAAGGCTGTTACAAGAATATACTAGATATCTCTGCTATTTTCCCATACATATCACTCATTGACATAGCAAGCACAACTTACCTTTATCCCTTCTGTGGATTTCCACCAAGTAGATCAGGAAATGCATCTGAATTAAGGAGGTTGATGCATCATGACTATGAAATATTTCCAAAGTGTGTGGTTCTGTGTAAAAGTATCATACACTTCCGATATACAGCCACTTACCTTGTGATAAATATATGGCATCCACATACGTGTGTTAGAAAGTGAGGATAACCATCTGAAATTTATATTCAAACCTTTACTAAAAGCAACTTGGACGTGAAATTTAAATGACACATAATACACCAGAAAAAGGCTCCATTCAAAGTTCTACAAAAAAAAGGAATTGTATTTACAGATGTCATGAACTAATCAAATACATCTAGTATCATCTGGAAAACTTAATGGCATGCCACAACTTAATATCACAGTCAATATGAATAAAGGAACCCAGAATTATGTTTTCTAATAATCAAGCAGAAAGCAAAGAAATCAATGAATCAATATAAAAATGAAAAAACAGAAAAAGACAAAATATCACAAATCATCCAAATAGTTTAAGAAACTAGTTAAATCCCTAAAGTGTTGTTATTTTATTACAGGCAAGGTCTGTCACTAATTACTAAAATGCCTTCATGATTCTGCAGATACCTCAGATCTTTGCTAATCCTCCAGAGCTCCCTCCCATTGATACAAGGTTTAATGGAAAGTACAAGATGTACGAGAAGACTCTGGCAATCTCTCCACCATGGGAACAGATGGATGGAAAGACGTCCCTCTATCCACACATCTTCTAGATGGTCACTGTTAATTTGCGTCTGAGTCGTGCCTTCGGTATTCATGACAGCTGTGGAGCAAAAAGCTGCTCCGGAACAAAGTTAGCATACTATGCCATTTCTGTTTCTTCATTAACACCAACTTCCTCAGCAGGGAAGGCTTCCAAATGCAAAACAACCAAGGTTTCTCAGACAGATTTGATTTCAATCAAAATTAGTGCCAAAGAAACATCTTTGACGTGCAGAATGTCTGGGCTAGTAAATAATAAAGAATTCTCCCCCTTGTCCCAGCAAAAAGTTTTCTTTGGAGAGATTAAAAGAAATAGCAGACCTGTAAATGTGAGTACATCTGTTGTAAGGATAAAAAAGTTGAAGGGCAATGATTAAGGGAATCAAATGATCAGAAGAACTACAACCCATAAAATACTGTGAAAAGTTAATATGTCAAGTCTTTAATAAGGCAAGACTATCATCCCCATATGAAGTATTTTGAAAATTTACAGTTAGTGCCTATTAAAAGCACCTTTCATTAATAAATCTTCAAATGCTGAACATAGTAGAAATACAATTTTTAAATGAGAATTTTAAAATATTAAGTAGGACTATGTAGTAAGCTAAGGTGCTATTTTTTTTACATATTTTCAACCACATTACATAGATATAATTAACCATTTTAAGTTCATAAAAATCCAATCTGCATTACATATAATTTGGTGCACAGGTTTGCTACTTTTAAATATTGTGTAAGGTTTATGTAAGCATGCACAATTAAATAAATAAAATTAAGTAACCAAACTGCTGTTGTTAAGAAAGCAGAATAAGTACATGTTCTCAGTTTTATTGGGACCCATTGTAACTGATCAGTTTGTATGACTCCTGCTACAATAACAACTGCTATCTGTTTTTAAATAATGAATAATAATTTGCTCACACATTCACTGTAAATGTGTGTGTGGCTATATACGTGTGTGAAGAAATGGAGTAATTTATACCACAGCATTTGTTTTCCATTCTTAATTGTTCTCCAAAGATCTTTTTTTTTAAATAGCAGCAGAAGTGAATGTCAAGGAAGCTTTAAATCAACACTTGATTTGGCCCAGGTGGTGGTATTATGCTATTATTAGGCCTCTGCCACCTGCATGAGCTCTAACAAGTTCAATGAAAGGGGGGTGCATGCTCCCTAAAAAACTAGGTTCTTGATAGCACTTAGATAACATAGAAATATGTCTGTGTGTAGATCAATTCTAGGACTTCTTGTTAGAGGAAATCACAAGCAAAAGGGTTAAATAGCAACTGAAGAATTAAATCAGTTAAGTCTATGCTGGGATCACTGAAACAAAATGAAAAATAAATGTGCTGTTTACAATCTCTCAAGAAAATGCTGGAGACAACAGTTTCATTAGTGATGTAGCTGAATATGCCGTCCAACAACTATAAATAGTAACCCAGCTAACAAAGAAAAAAATATCCCTGCTGGGGCCAGAAAAAATGACCAGCCATACAGAACAGAAGGGGTGAAGTCCAAGCAGTCTTTCATTTTCATGTTTCTGTAGCTTTCCAGGTCAACCACTGCCTGGACCCAGATGACATACAACATCACCACCAGGGAAAACAGGAGGCCTGAGAGAGACAAAACAAAAGACCTTTAGCCTTTCTGAAGATGTTTTCCCAAGAACACAATATTAGACTACTTATTTTCCTGACAATCTGTTCCTAAAATACAATTTTAGCTAAGTCACCTACTTAGTCATATCCCTTATCATGTGCTGAATATCCACATTGAGCTGAAGGCTAGAGCAGGATAAGGACAATGGCAGCAGCTGACAAGTATTTGTGAGTACTTACTGTGTGTCAGGCACTGTATTAGATGCTTTGAATGTAAGAGGAATTTATATTTCAATATTTATCAATATTTACTATGATCTTGATTAGTGATGAGCACTATGATACATTATTTCTTCAATAGGTACAATAAACTGATAAAATGTGTACTATTAAACCCCAGTTTTAAGTATGTGCAGACAGAGCTCATGGTTTTCTGAGCTGATTCTGATTCCTAGCTGAGGCCTTTCTAACTATTGTTACACTATTAAAACCCAGCTAACTAGTGCTGCAACTAAATATGGCAATGAAAATGGAAGCCAAGGTAAGTACCAGACAAGAAGAAAGATGAAAACACTGAACAAATATAAATGAGTATATGTGAGATTGAAAATGCAATATATACGCCAAAGGTTGATTTCAACAAGTAGAACTATTGCTTTGAGGAACTGATAATAAAATATTCTATTGAATACAAAACTACAGGTTTGAGATCAAGAGTTTATTGAACAAAAAGAGGAAGGAAGGAAGGAAGGAAGGAAGGAAGGAAGGAAGGAAGGAAGGAAGGAAGGAAGGAAGGAAGGAAGGAAGGAAGGAAGGAAGGAAGGAAAGGAGAGAAAGATGGGCCTAACCACTAACCATAAGGCAACATCCCAATTGATCACGTCACTGCTTACTGAATTCATCATTCAAAAATACTATTGGAATTATAGAGAAAAAATTAGAGAAAGTATTATAGGGCTGGACCCTTGACCTGAAGAGGCAGTATGACAGAGGAGCTCATAAATGCTAAAACTTGAGACTGTCACTAATACTTTTCCATGTTATGGTTACTGTAACAAACAGCAGGGAGTGATGCTCCTGTACTGAGCTGCAAACACAGGAGAGTCTCCTAAGCTGATTGTGAGTGAGTGATAGGTCTCACATACAAACCACATAGCCTGAGAGATTAAATTTGTCTTGAAGCACAGTATACTTGACATTATTCTCTATCTGCCCCAAAGTTCAATCCAAACATGTCAAGGATCTGTTATGCACTGTGAATTAATGAAATGAACAGTCAGGCCAGGTATAAAATCTCCATAACTTAGCTGTTGGTCTGTCTGAAAGTGAACATAACCCCATGCCTATGAGCAGGGACTTAGGCATCTTGGCAGGAAATAGGTTTTAAGAACCCAGACATGAGTCTCCTTTCTTGAGTTAATTGTGCTCCTATGATATTTAGGATGCCCTCTCTCTCTGGGGCCATTAATTTTTAAGGACTCTTGAGAGGTAAAAACAAAGGATAAGGATGCATAAATATGTCAAGGTGTGTTAGTATCAGAGCTTAAACTTTCTTATAATCATCATACAAGCTTCAGAGCAATGAACAATCAACAAAGATGCTTCACTAATAAGAAACATCCTCCACACCAGGGTCTGTAATGTAAATGCAAATACTGGAGCATAGAATGGAGCAATTTAACCGCTGAACAATAGCTCCATCAGAGAGAAATAGTTAAGTCATAGCCAGCAAGAAAACTCCTTACAGAGCAGATTTTGACAACAATATGGCAATGCCATGTGTTGTCTAGCAACTCTGCATTTAAAAACATTTTTTCAGCAAATATAGAGACAGTACTCTCTGTTAGTGTGAAGGTTTGACTTTGTTATTTGCATACTGTCATTTGTCTTTTGCAAACCTTTGTTATTATTTGTTGATACGGCTTTTATCTTCTTTGCGTCATAGGAATATCTCCTGTTTTCTGATATCTTTATTAAAAAAATAAAAGTTGCCCTTGTGAAAAACCAGTAGCCTTACACATAGTTTTTCAAAATTCGCAAGACCCATTACTGAATTTAATATTGAAAAAAAATGTATTGCAGGTAATCATGTAGATGATTCTTAATAAGGGAGAATTAACCTATATTTAAATATTGCTGTTAAATGGAGAGTAATTATATCCTGAAAGTAATGAATAATAGGCATTTCAATCACTACAATCTTTAACTTGCTCACTAATTGAAGACAGAGTCCATTTAACTCATATCAGATCAGTCTGTGATTATATCTTATCCATAGGGTAAAACAGAATTTCCCTATCCATTAAATTGTCAGTGCTGTGTGTGTGTGTGCATGCACATGCACACACAGATGCACACAGAGAGGCAGACAGAGAAAAGAAAATAGCTAACAAACATGGGGAAAGTATACTGAGGGGCAATGAATTAGCTGACGTTATAGTAAGAATTTGTGATGGGGACCTGCAACAGAGGATTTAGGAGGCTGCTACACGCAGGCAGATTGCTCAAATAGCTAACATATAGAGGCAAATTCGAGTTAGGTTTTTCACTGTTCCCAACTGAGAAGGGATAAAGCTAGAATGAGCTCTATGGTGTTTGTTTGCAGCTGTGTATCAGTATGAATTTATGGTTTTAGATGAGGACAGATGATAGATGATTGATAGATTAGATAGATTTTATTTTAATTTTTAAGATTTTTTTATTTATGCATACAAGAACAGGGGTACAGACCAGAGGTGTGGGGGTGAGAGGATTCATCAGAGACAGAGTGGGAAGCAGAACAGGCAGACTGACTTAACTACACTGCTGAGGGGAGCAACAGGCAAGATAGGAGAGGTCTGCTGAGCCATGTGGGTAGCTCCCTGACCGGCCAGGGATCGAACTGTGCTGCAGAGGCTGTGGGCTGCTCCGCAGTGCTGTGCTTAACCCCTTGCACCACCAGGGAGGCCCAGATTTTAGAATATACCTATGTGTATATACCTAGATATATTTCCTAACTGTTCCCTGAGAATGTCCAGTTGTAATGAACATGCCAAGTGTCTAGATAGATCATGGTTTCTAAAAACTAAGAAGAGGGTTTATCAAAGAAATAGTGAAATCTAGGCTAGGACAAAAAGCTTAAGGAGAATCTGGAACATCTTGTTACAAGTAAAGGTACACTCAGAGAAAGATGGGGTGTTTCAGAAACTAGCTTGATGGGCTTCCCTAGTCAGTTCTGAGACAATCTGATCATCAAATAATGACAGTGGCAAATTATATCTCATTGAATAAAATAAAAATCCATGAACCCATAGTGATATAAAGGAGTTAATGAATAAGTGAGGAAAAGGGAAGATATTCAAGTAATAAATGTAGAAGAAATAGATGAATTAGAAATCACTATTTGTCAATCACTTAAATAATAATTCAGGCAGGAATCAAAAATAGATGCTAAAACTAGTAGATAAAATAAAAATTGATATTTACATAGGCTCAAAATCTCTTCCACAAAACTTATTAATTGTAAAGGCGAAAACAATAACTTTATACTAAAGAAATCCAGCAAATACCACCTTACTCAAGTGATCAGTTCATATCACCAGTGACTAGACAAACTGATGTCACTCACCACTCATGAAACATAATGAGAAGAATATAGCATCACTGCCACGATACTGCAGCCAAAACCACAGAGCCCAAATTCAATCATGAGGAAACATCAGACAAACCAATTAAGGGACATTCTAGAAAATCACAGGCCTGGATGCTTCAAAAGAGCCAAGATCACAAAGGTCAAAAAAGAATTTGTCCTGGTGTGAAGACTGAAATGACACAACAACTAAATGCAAAGCACAATCCAGGACTCGATTCTTTTGTTATAAAACACATTATTGGAAAAGTTAGCAAGACTTGGAGTCTTAGAGTAAAGGGACTTGTACCCTTTACATAAATCTGAAAATATTTCAAAACAAAAACAAAAAAAATGAATGACTAAAAAGAAAAAAGTATGTTGGGATAGTACATTTGTTAGAAATGATACAAAGTACATTTGTTAGAAAGACACATCTTCTTCTGGTGGGATATAAAAGTAATATTTATTTTGTCCATCTACCAAATGATCTCTCTTCTGTAGGACAATATTAATATTATAGAAAAAACTTAATCATTATCCCTTGATATCTTAAGACCTTTATTCACACAAGCATAAGCAATAACTGTCATGAGTAATAAATGAGTTACATTTGAACAGTTGCCACTGTGATTTTAGGTTTTAATTTTCAATATTGCTAATATTTAGGTAATAATTTGTTTAAATGAAGTTAAATTTAGTCATTCATTTGAAATCATAATTTACTTTCAGTTAAATTTTGTAATACCCATTTTTGAAGTCTAACAAAAAGTCATAAAATAGCTCAATGGAGTCATAATTAAAATATGGTCCCAAAGCCCATGAAGAGTTGTGATTGTAATAAAATATGGTCAAATAATTGAGTTATACCAAGAACTTATTAGATCTCTACTTACTGGCTGGAGGAAGTTATTGAAGCTTATGATTTTGTATGAATTCTCTTATTTTTTTAAAGATGTATTTATTTATGCATATAAGAACCAGGGTACAGGCCAGATGTGCGGGAGGGTGAGAGGATTCATCAGAGACAGAGTGGGGAACAGAACAGGCAGACTGACTGATATACACTGCTGAGGGGAGCAGCAGGTGAGACAGGAGGGGTCTGCTGCGCCATGTGGGTATCTTACCTGCCGGCTTGGATCAAACCCATGCTGCAGAGGCTGCAGACAGCTTCACAGCACTGTGCTCAACCACCTGTGTCACCAAGGGAGACCCTGAATTCTCTTATAAAGGTGAAAATTTGTCCCTCTAAATTTCATGAATTCAGCTTGGTAAGCATTTTTTCTGAAACAAGGCCCCATGAAATGCAGTCACAAATGTTCATTAGGAGCACAGTTGCTAATGAAAAACAATATATAAGCAATCATATTTTGTAAACAAAAAAGAATTTCCCCAACCCCTAGTTACA